GCTTTGTTTAGGTGTACATGTGAAAATTGGCCTCTCAATCTTCATCAGCAAAGCACTACCGAGATCCAGTCATAGAGGATTCCTGATGCAGGACAACTAAGGCCTGTGCCTCCAGCCTCGAACCTACGTCTAGACACCTCGGTAATCCGGTCGGTCGCTATTCCATCCAGAATCTCTGTCACAGATTCACCGCTAATCACGCAAACACGATTGATCATGCACCTGTTCGAAAATAACATTGACTCTTTTCTAAACCAATTGCACGTTGCAAATCCACTAGTAAAACCAGATGGCATTCGGTGACGACTGCCTTAGGCCTTATCCATAACGTGTAAGTATGCGCTAAAGGAGGGAATAAACGACTCTGGAGGTCGCGTGAACTTGACGAAAACGGCACACGCGTACAGTGACCTGATGAACTGGAGGCGTGATTTCATCAAGCAGACCTCACTCTGGCGAATCTCCTGGCCCATTTCAAGACTATTGTTTGCTGAGATGTCAGCCGACATGCGCTGGTAAATGCCATCTGGTAATCACTCGTTTGTGCTTGTTCAATCCGTCTACTGAGTAGATCACAGAAAAATTTATGAGACAGGGAAGTCAGGCAGACAGACAGACAGAGACAGTCGGCATCCAGAACCGCAATTTGAACCATGTAGTCCACCTTGATTGCCCTGTAGCCTCAAGCAATAATAACTAGCGGTCTTGGATAGTGGCAAGTAGACAAACATCAGGGTTTGTGACAAATTTTGGTAAGAGCGCCTCAATTACGAATCATCCAGCGAAATTCTTGCTTTGGGCCCCAGCACTTGGTCTTGAACCACGCCGGGGCCACGGAATTAACCCTGGCCCCATTACGCTTCCCTCATACCCGCGATGAAGAAAAAGATCGGAGAGGACGTAGACACAACCGTTTAATTCAGAGCTCAACCACGTTGGTGTCGTTGTGTCGTGTGTGGGGTCTGCGCGTGTGTATTTATAGCTCGGATGTGTGAGTCATACAAATGCCCACATCGAGACCTAGGCGTAAGGATAATCCAAGATAAATATCAGTTGGAATGAGGGGGGAGTTGAGGATCTGCGTGGCTGGCGGCATGCTGCGAAAAGGGGAACCCTGTGTTGGGGGTGGAGGGACCGGATTAAGGGGTTTGAATAAACACGATTCACAGTTTCGATTGGTCCAAGTAAAAAGCGACTGCTCATTAGTCAAGGTAAGTGCCAGATTGTACCAGTAGCATAAAATATAGAAGGCTGTCCTGATGAAACGAGTATCCACAGAACAGTTTATTCGCAATATTTCACAAATCACGAGACGAGATGAAAGTTGCCAGCCAACACGGAATTATCAAGTCTGAATGGCGACACAGTTTTCTTGTTTACATCAAACCTAGTGACAGTATCATTGGGGTCATGGATGGTTGGAAGGCCAACGACAGTGACTGTGGATTTGACCATCATCTCAATACAAACAGATGCGAAGACTTACGTGATGTGCAGGCCGACTGAGTGGGAGGTATTTGCCAGTACGTTTAGTGAAGGCTTAAGGCTTCGACATGCATGTCGCAACCCGAATGTAACAAATGAAATGAACACACATTCTGGTGCATCTCGGAATACTTGGATGCAAAGTACAACGTCTCAGTGATTACATCTGTGCACACACTACTGATTGGTGTATTCCCCGCTGCAACGACTGCATTCAAGTTGGTCTCGTAATTATGAACACACTTCAATCCCCAGATCAGGAGGCTTTCAAATCAGTATTTGCCGAATTCAGAAAGGTTTCGAGTGGCAAGATTTCACCAATGTAGTGCGTGCACAAAGGTAGAAGAGCTAGACACGTAGGCATGGAAGACGAAGAGGTCAAAACTAGCATTAGAAAAGAGCCGGGATGCTCGGTGTGTCCCGATGCTGTGGCACGATTTCGCTTGTCAACGTGAATGCCATCAGTGTGGTCTCGAAACGCGCAATGCGTCGAATCATCGCTGCGTGGTAATTCCAGGCTGTCACGATCACTTATGTCGAATTTTTCCAAGTAGGCCAGTGACCACAACGGTGCCATGCCTCATTTGCTCTCTTCATCTGCGCATGCACGGTCGTACATTGAAATTCGTCATGTACAGTATGATTGTCAAGGCAAACAACAGCAGTGAACATTCAACAATATACCACGAGGTAGCAGCTGTGATCATCAGACATTTAAACCGCTGTGATTTTAAATTCTGTTGACCCGGCTGCAAGTTATATTTCACTCAACCTTCAAACACCTCAATGCCCCAGACTTTGATCATCCAATGTGAAACACATGACCGCACACATTTAATGCTAACCAAATGTCGCTTGCAGCAAAGCACTTATGAGTGAATCGTGGCAAATCAAACACAGGCCGCATTCTTGTCGTTGCGAACAAAACATTTTCGCAATCACACGTGAATATGCCTGAGTGGTATTGCGTATTTCTGTCGTGCTTGCTACAGAGAAATTGGTTATGCAGTCGCATTTGCACCGTAGATATCTGCCAGCTAACACTTCACTGGCTGCAGTGAAAGCAAAAACGACCGACATTAATTCATGACGCTAAACAGTAGGTGGTGCATATTTTGCATCGTCCACAACTGTACTCGCGGACAAGCCAAACAGTAATTCATAATAAAATACTTCCTTAGTGTACAGGAAATGCAGTTGCAAACCTGCTATTACTTGATTTTATAAATGTTTCTATGCAAATTTCATTCATTCCGTGAGTACGTAAATCGTCACCAACACCACCGCCGTCACCTTCATCATCATCATCATCACCATCGTAGCCGTCTTCGTCGTCGTCATCGTCCATACAGCTCTGCATTTGCCCCTATTCACCAATGTGAAGTCGCTTTAAATTAAACTCCCAGTTTAGACATGCGTGCTGTCCTCGTGACTTGCACACAGGCATCGAAACATTGGTCAGAGAAATCATCTCTTTGCAATAATTTCCGCGGTGTTATCAATCATGAAATTAGTTTCACTAAGTACAATCACATGTTCATAGCAACTGGACGCATTTGACACAATCCCGTTAAATGTCCCACGCCATCTCCCACGCCGTCATCACAAAACGTAGGTCAATACGCTCACACCAATTAAAAGCAAGTAACCAGCAGTAAGCCCATTCGGTTTCCAGAGCAACAATGCACACACCACATGCATTCATGCTTTCGAAAACATACATCCACACAAATGGCGACTACTTCCAACCTCCACCAAGTTAATCTGCAACAATGCTTCGTTTGAACATGCGCTT